CGATATCGCGGCCTCGGCATGGGCCTAGCCCTCACTGGCTCATCTGTGGGCGCCGTGATCTTTCCCTTGATGCTGCGTTCCGTGCTTCCAAGCTGGGGCTGGCAATGGTCCATGCGAGGCCTCGGGTTCGTCATCACAGGCATGATGGTGCCCGGCGTTGGATGCCTATACCCCTTCCCTAGTCTTATGGGTTCCATAGATGCCGGTGTGCTGGCCGCCAACACGGGTTCTACCGCCACTCCTGCACAGCCCAAACGGAACGCTGCCCTCAACTTCACGGCCTTCAACTCTCCTCCGTTCTCCTTCGTCACAGGAGCCTTCTTCATGCTCGAATTCGTCATCTTCGGCGTCACTGGTATCCTTCCCACGCTCGTGACTTGGGCCGGATTCCCTGCTGAAACGGGTTACAATCTCATCGCCATTATGAACGGCTTCTCGTTCGTGGGTCGTCTTCTCCCTGGCGCAGTCGGTGACCGCCTTGGCCACCTCAACGTACTCCTCGTTATGATCGTCTTCACCTTTGTCACTACAGGCGTGACGCTTCTACCATTTGGGGCCCGCCATATCGAAGCCCTATACGCCTTTTCCGCCTGCTGGGGCCTCGGCTCAGGATCCTTCCTATCACTTGTGCCAGGTATGCCTTTGTCTCCCTGAAGCTTTATTCACATAGCTCGTTTCGAATAACCGCTGACAATCGCAGTGTGCATGGGCAAGACGTGTGAGCCTAAAGACTATGGGCGCTTCTACGGCACGATGAACTTTGTCGTGAGCTTCGCCGTGCTGATCACCGTGCCTATCGGAGGCCAGCTTCTCGAGTCGATGGGCTCCACGCCGCTGGCCGGGTTGTACATGGCCATCGTCACCCTTGGCGGTGCTGGTCTTTTTGCCGCTCGAGCTCTTCTCGTTGGTTCCTGGTTTGATATACGGGCGAAGATTTGAAGCGTACAGTTTAGACGTGCGTGACACAGCCCGTCCTGGTTGTGAGCATGGCATGATAGTAATGGTATCAAAGCAGAATAATGAATGGCTGATGGTAATATATTCTTGTAACAAGCACTTGGGCTGGCGGGTCCGGGTCGCGCGTCACGACTTGAAGCAGAGCTCACGCTGAAATCTGGTGGGGTGCATCTTGAATACCATCCATATAGAGCTCGTAATGTATCGTATTGCAGATCAATGTCGCAGTATATCTGAATTGATTAGCAGGACAGTAGACGGATTGCCGTAGGCAAGAAGACGTCAGCTTGGTCACCTGAAAGTGATGTGTGGTCAAGAGTTTCCATCACTTGGTATTTATTCAGAGTATCCATCAAGCGCGACGCGAGATGCTTGATCCAAACGTAGAATATCTTTGTTTTCCATATTGGCATTCTCATGGCTCAACGATTTCCCAATTCCTCAGTTGAGAAGCTGCCTGATAGGTATTTACTGACGCCATGTTCCGTAGTAGCCCTGTGCACAGGCAAAGACGCGATTCTATCCCATATATTTTCTGTCTGCCCCTGTCGAGCACCAGAACGCGGAAAGAAAGAGAAGAAAGGCTGGAAGAAAAACAAGTCAGCATTTACAATAGAAATAATTTCAATCATGATCCCATAAAGTCTCTGAGCTAGGATCTGAGCGGATTTCAGAACTCTCGTCGGAGTTTGAGCGCTCATGAGGCCTCCTAGCTGGGTTCATGCGGGATCCAATAGCCTGGTTGAGATACTGATCCATATCGCCGCAGGCAAATTTGCGTTCCCAACGAAGTGTGAATTCGCGACACTCCCGTCTGTGTCTCTGATTCATCCGGGCCAACGATTCCCAGTACTCATCTATAGTTCCGCGAAAGTCTCGACCCCGTTCTAGGGCGTGGCGCTCGACAGCTTGCCTCGCGTACATCTCTCTGCGCTTCCGTTCGATGTAACGGGTCTTTTCTTCATCACGGAGCCTCTGCTCCCACAAGTTGCGCTCGATGATGCGAGCGGCCTCCCTTTCCCGGGCAACGTCGCCCACGAGATGATCGATGCATAGACCCGGGGCGGTAACGTGATCAGCCCTCATCTGTGGGCAACCTTGAACAACGCAGTTGTGATCGCGGCAGAACGCGCGAGGCTGTTGCGAAAGCGCCAGGCAATTTCCTAGCCTGCACTTGTGGTCGCTGCAAAAGTTGCCCCTCGGCAGCTTGGTGTTGGCACAGCCTGGTGCCTGGCAGCCGTGGAGATCACAGTAACCGCCTCGGGTGCCTCCGCGGCGGAAGC